AACACCCACAGAAAAAAACGAAGAAAAAAGGGGGGGGGGGGGATGGAGGGACGGGGACGGGGACGACGGGGACCAAAAACACTATCTCAGGATTTAACGGAGCCGGGACTCTCCCGCAAAGGGCTGGCGAAGCCGGCGGATCCCGGCTGGCAGCTCCGGCCGGAGGAATCGCCGCCGCCGCCTCCGACCCCCCCACCAGCCCCGCTCCACTCGGGGTCCCTCGGTGGCCGCGGCGGGGGGGGGGGGGGGGGGGGGAGGGGAGCGTGAGGCCCGCGGGGGCCGCGGGGGGGGGGGGGGTGGGGGTGGCGAGGGCACGCGTGGGTTGAGCCCCACTGCCCGTGGAGCTGTGGGCGTCCTCCTCCGCGCCCGTCCCCACCGCCCGCGCGTTTGGGCAGCGCACATTCAGTTCTTCTCCTCCTCAACGCAGCAACAAAGAGGGAGAGAGAAGACTCCCAGCAGATGCTTACTTTTTTTTTTTTTAACTCTGAGATAAGTACGTTTTCGGCCGAAAAAAACTACCAGCTATAATTAATTATTTTACTAAACATCGATATTACTATTATTGTTGTTATTGTTATTATTATTATTATTATTATTACTACTACTGAAACCCTAAGACTGGGCTGGCCGGTTCCGAGCCGAGACCTAAACATTTCTTTCCGTTCCATAATTTCAAACCGTTTCAAGTGCTGGATCATCAGTTTTTTCCCTTTGTCTGCCCCAGTTGTAAATAATGGCTTTGAGATTAGCTAATTACGGCGCATTAATCACTGATAGAAAGGAAATAAATCAAAGCCGGGTTCGAATTTTCAAACTCACTAGTAGAGACGTGCATAGCAACTCTATCTGCAGCAGATAGGTGCTGTTTAAATTACTGAGGCTACAGAGTAAACCACATCCACGTCATTTTAAAAAATGAAGATTTTATTTATACATACCAGTTGTGCCGTTAAGTGGAGGTTTAGGGGAATTTTTTCAGTCTAGTTTTGTAAAAAAGGTTTCCTACAGTGGTGCAGTTCTGAAGCCAGCAACGTTGAAATGTGGAATTAACAAACTTCTTGTAATAAAAGCGGAATATGGAGGAGACAAACAGAAAGATGTAAAAGACAGAGAGAGATAGATAAGCAGATAAAAGTCTTGTCAAAAAGACAATTATAGTATTTTTCCTGCGACTAGATTACACAGAACTCTGTACAACAACGTTCACGTTAGATGCTGTATTTTTTAAGGATTTCACTAGCCCTCAAATCCTTCCTGCTGTCCTCCCCACCGCACAGTGTATTTTGCAGTCACGTCCTATCAGTATTTTGAAGCATTTATCTTCGGGGGTGGGGGTTAGATAAGTACACGCCAGAAAGCAACAAGCCAGCTTCTAGGGGAAGAAATCATGTAGGTCTTCCAAAAAAAAAAAAGTAGAATCTGCAGATGGAAAATTGGGGGAGCCCCAGCCAGGAAACCAAGGACACACAGACACGGACACACACATTCCACCCCAAAAAAACACTCCTCCTCCACCTGGAAGGAGGCAGCCCCCGCGTCCATCCCCCCCCCCGCCCCCCCCCCCCAG